CCCCATCTTCTCCCCCCTCCATCCCCCCTCCCCACCCCATCCCCTCCCGCCCCCCCGCACAGCACCGCGGACAGCTCCTCCCCGCATCCCCCCTCCCCTCCCGGCAGGGGACCGGACCGCGCCACCGTGCGCCGCAGAGGGGGGGGGACCACGTCACCAACTCCTCCCCCCGCCGTCCGCAGATGGTGCGACCCTCCCCGGGCTCGGCAAGGGGACCGGGAGCAACCATCGCGGCGGGAGGGGGTGGGAAGGAGGGGCCGGGCGAGACCAATTCCCGGAGACGTGCGGGGGGGAGGTCCGGGTATCTGGGCTGGTCCAGTTGCTGATGCGCTCATATGACTCCGGGATTCGGGAGCCGCCGGGTCTGCCCCAGAGCGAGCCCGGGGTGCAGGCCCCATAGAGCCCCTATAGGAGCCCCTATAGAAGGGCGCAGACTGGGGGAGAGAGAGACACCCCCTATAGCCCCCCTCCCTTATAGCCCCCCTTCCCCTAGAGATCCCCTCCCTCACAGACCCCCCTTCCCCATAGGCATCCCTTGCCCTATAGACACCCCGTTCCCCTCCAGAGATCCCCCAGAGACACCCCTGCTAGACCCTTCCTTTCCCCATAGAGATCCCCCCTAGACACCAGAGCCCTAGAGAAAGACCCCTTATAGAAGAAGGCCCCTATAGAGCGAAATCTCCCGTTTGGAAAGACCTTCACGCATAGACGAGACTCGCCCGAAGAGATGCCCCTGTAGAGACACTTCCCCTATAGAAGCATCCTATAGGGGACCTTTCCCTACAGGAGGGGATCCCCTGTCTAGAGAGAAAGACCCCCCCCCCCCTATCGTTCAGAAGAGCCATCCCCTATAGACAGACACCTCTCCTGCCCCAGAGAGAGCAGCCTCCCCTATAGGATTGATAGACACCCCCCCATCTGCCCCCTATAGGCACAGCCCCCTACAGTGCCCCCAGGATGAATTACCTGCGGAGACGCCTCTCGGACAGTAACTTCATGGCCAACCTGCCCAACGGCTACATGACGGATCTGCAGCGGCCTCAGCCCCCC